AGCCCTCATATCACACAAAGTGGATTTCCACACCTTCAGTCTTCCCTATGAACGCTCTCTAAAAGTCGTTTTAAAGGGCATCCCCATTGACATAACCACTGAAGACTTAAGGGCCGAACTCATAACCTATAGTTTCTCAGTCAAATACAGTCACCGTTTTGGTACCCCCGAAAAACCTATACCGTTATGTTTAGTCCACATAATCGCAAAAAATTCGCTAAAGACATATTCCTACTCCAATCGCTTTTCTACGTTTACATCACGGTTACAGCGTACAAATCTTCTAGTCCGGCGCAATTCTTTGCTTGCCAACGCTTCGGTCAAAGCTCCCAGAACTGTGATCACCCCCTGCTTTGTGTTAAATGTGTAGGAAATCACTTCGCTGCAAACTGCACAAAAAAATTAGAACAGCCGCTTACTTACTGTAACTGCGGTGGCGTCAATATCGCAAATTTCCGTTTTTTCACTGAACAACAAATTCTATAATTAAGAACCACAACACCCTTTTCTTCATCACCAATTATTGCTCCTCAATCCATGCCATCGCAAAAAACCGACACTACTAAATAAAACACTCCTCCGCCCCCTTCATTATCCACAAACTACGCTGAAGTCATCAAAAACTCAGCTCACCCATCAACCAAACCATCGGTCCTAGACATAAGTCTAACAACTATTATCACTCTACCATCAAATCTCTTGATCGTTTTCTCTTCCGGCACAGACCTAAAGTCTCTGCTGAAAACTACAGTCAAAACCTTCCTATTCTTACTTTCGCCCCAAAATGACTAACCTCAAAATCTTATTCTGAAACTGCAATGGTATTAGCCATAAACTTAACGAATTACGTCTCATTGTATCCCTAATGAACATCGATTTAATCCTACTAAACGAAACCCGTATCCCCCCTTCCCACAAATTTCACATTCCATACATATAAAAATGACCTGCCTCTTATTCGTGGCTCACCTGCGGACGGGAGCACTGCTGTTCTTATTCGCCGACGTATCGTCCACCAACCAGTTACTCTAAACACAGACATTCAATCTTCTTCAGTTTTCATTCAAATTAACGGCCTTGATGTACTAGTCTCAGAAATTTACAAAACTCCCGGGGCTTTACTAACAACAAACAACTTAGATCTACTAACACATAGTGCCAAATGGCAAATATCAGCTGGCGACTTTAACGTCAAACATCCTTTATGGCACAGCAACTCTACTAACGCCACCGATAGAAAACTCTTTGACCACGTACAACACTCTGACTACTTCATTTCCCCTACATATAGGGCACAGACCTGATATCCTTTAGTCTCATAAGACTTCCTATTCCAACACAAATTTCCAACCTAAATGAACTATTATCTGACCATAACCCAATCCTACTCGAAATTCTAAATACTCCAGATTCCTCGTCTCCTCCAACTACCAATCGCTTCATTAACTGGAGAAAATATACTAACATACTCACTAACTCACCTAACTTGACCTCATAACCACTACATAGTGCGCAATCAATTGATTTAGCAATTGAAAAACTGACTAAAAACATATAACATACTATAGAAGCTAGCATAACTACCCCAACCACAAAAATTCTTTCAACTCCTTACCAAACCACATACAAGCGGAAATAACGGAAAAAAACAGATTACGCTGAAACTGGCAAAGGTACCATGACTCGAACAACAAACGCGAACTTAACTCAAAAATCTCCATTATCTGAAATATTCTCATAACCCACAATACCGACCAATGGGATATTTTTCTAAACTCCCTAGACCACTAAGACAGCTCCTTATACAAACTTAACAAATGTCTTCTTTACAAACGTCCAGCCTCTCACCCTCTCACTAGATCTAACGGTCTAGTATTTCCAGCCAAAGACCAAGCTGAGCTAATGGCAGACTCTCTAGAACTTCAATTTAATGCAAATCCTAGCCCTGATATACCGGAAGTCACCGCAAATTATATTTCACTAACAAACCTATCCATCAACTAGTCAAACATTTTCACCATCCCCGGAACCTTTCAACAAATCATCCATAAACTTCGTAAAAAGAAAGCCCCTGGAGATGACCACATCACCAACACAGCTCTCAAATTCCTGCCTAGCAACATTTTACTATCCTTAACCAAAATAATTAACTGTTCTTTTAGAATCAGCCAAAATATAAATAACGACGTCCAAACAGCTTCTATCTTCCTTGACATGGAAAAAACTTTTGACCGTGTGTGGACCAAAGGCCTCATTTACTAACTATCCCAACTCAATATTCTGATCGTAATCATTAAAATCATCAAATCCTTTTTATCTGAACGCACTTCTACTATTAAAATCGAAGACTCCTTTTCATCCACCAGACACATCCGGGCAGATATCTCTCAAGGATCCTGTCTTTCCCCAACCCTCTACAAAACTTACATTAATAATATATCAACAACTCTTAAAGCACAACTATCACTATTCGCAGATGACACAATATTCTTTTTATTACTTACAAAAACTCTAAAAGTGCAGCTATCCAGCTACAACACCAAATCAACCTAGCGCTCAGTTGGTTTCACCGCTGGCACTTTAAAATTAACGCAACTAAAACCGTAGCCGTCATATTCGGGTGCAAAAATACTACAAACATCCCTAAATTATTCATCGAAAATCACACTAATAACTAGTCTAAACACGCCAAATACCTCAGAGTTACCATCGGTCGCAAACTAAATTTTGCCCAAAACATATCCAACATTACTAAAAAAGCAACCCGTACCCGTGGAATGTTCTACCCCATACTAAACAGAACTAGTCCCATCCCAATGGCAACAAAACTTAACATTCTCAAATTCTACATATCCCCTATCATCGCTTAAGCAGGTTCTTCCTGGCCCCCCTTAATTTCTTCCTCACACTGGCGTAAAATTGAATCCGTCCAAAACATTGGGATCCGAACGATAACGGACATGTCTACTTTTGTTAAAAATCCTATTCTTTTAAAACTTACAAATTCGAATCTATCCAACACCTAATAAGATCTCAATCCAAAACTATGTTTTATAAAAACTCTTTTTCCAACCATAACCACATCAGACTTCTAGGTAAAACAATCTCTTCTCCATTCACAAAACTTACCCGTATCCTAAATCCCTACCCGTAAACATGAGCAAACCAACAATTATAACTAAACCAATCCAAATCCAAATCCATCCCTTAACATTCATCCACTAATAAAGGCGCAAGCCTGGTGTAGTAAGTAGCATAGTCTAGTCCTGTTCGAAAATAGTTTTGTCTAGAATATTCTCGGGGTAGTTCGCGAGCACTGCCGGTCTACGATCGGGCGCATGGCAGCACGTGTTTCTGGGAAAAAATCGGTTTGCAAACGGCACAACCGCGTAATTTCTAGAATTTTCAAGCTACCGTGCGCTACGGATATAAAAGGCCGACATGCCTCGGACTCCATACAGTTTGTCAGTTACACAATCAATTAGTTGTTGTTGTAAACTATACAATTCATCAGTAGTGATCGCCGGGATTACTTTTTTATAATATTTTCATATCGCGTACTGTCATGTTTTTATCGGCATCGGGCCGAATATTATATTAAAATAGTGTATATTGCGTTCTGCCGGCAACGAACCGTAGCATTGTAATTATTGTTTTTACGTTTAATATACAGTCCACTTTTTAGTTCATTAAATTGTGTTGGTTCAGTGTTTTATCGACATTATTATTACCTGACCAGTCTCTTACGGTGTTCTATACACCCGCAAAACTTAAACCCGGATATAGTCGCCAACAAGTCCTATAAAGCAAAGCGACAAATTTAACTTCTTCAACTTCCACATCAACTCTCAAGACATCAATCAAATCATACAAAAGGACTGAATTTAATTTTGAAAAGGAAGACTTACGAAGATACCAGCAGCCGCGACGATCTTACAAGTGGTCCTGTACAGCCAATCAAAGGCCCGAAACTGCCGCCACAGCTGAAAGCCCAACACACCATCGATACGATTACAAGCACCGTCCGCAACGGAAGCAGACAGTGCCCACCGAACGCGGAGTAAAGTCGGAGTTGACGATCGAAGACCCGGGAAGCCCGCCGCTACTCGTCCAGCGAGGCACAGACTACCACCGGCCAGTAAACACCAGGCCCCTTGGAAATACTGCCAGCCATCCGACCGAACGGATCCAGAGGAATTATTCCAGCACCTACGATGATCGGACCAACACTCGGCTGCAACTCGTCGTCACCAAAACACCACTTTTCAGCACTCCCAAAATACCGAGGCACTTAATCTAGTTGTCCTCCCTGGATTCGGCTCGTCGCCGGTGTACCGCTTAATTAAGTCTGTACCGGCGACGGTCAATCCCCAGACCTATAACTGTATATAACGCATAACACACCCGATATTGTAATATTAGGGCCCGGCTAACACTCACAAGCACCACCGACTATTCCGAACCACTTTTCCTAGTCTGGTCGAAACACGCCGACGCTTTACTAAACCCTTTATATTGTATGTTTATTTATATATTACATCAAAATATTGGAATGTGGTTACCTTTAATTACGTGCATTCATATTCTTCACAATCCGGAACGTCACATCGAACGTTGCGTTTCAATATAAATAATAAATTTAAATCATAAATAATGATGTATCATATAATAATAATAAACTTATTATTTAGACTTAAATAATATATATAAATGTAATACATATTAATACATATAATAATTGACAAAAATAAATTAAATATACTTTTATATTTAATATCATTATTTGATTAATATTATTCATGATTTTAACGAATAAATTTATTCTAAATAATTATTTTATTCACGAATAAAACTATTCAGAATAATACTATTTAATAACAATAAAAAATTATTCTTTATTCATAAATAAATTAGTTATTCATACTTTTATTTTTTATTTTTTATTATGTCCAACTCTGAATAATAGTTATAGTTATGGTTTATTTTTTTATTTGTTTCAGATTTGGTTCCGTAGCATATGCAGAACTAGGAGATGAGCTTTTTGACACGGACATGATAGATGGAGACACAGTGACGTTGTTGAACCCGACGAAATCTCAGGATGCCAATGACTATTTATACGAGAAGAAAAACAGTTTCAATGAGTATGATTTGGAATCATGCGCGTCCTACCAATGTCTAATGCATGACCACCAGTGCAAGTCTCAAATGAAATCCGAAGAGGATCTGTTTCTATTCGAATGACCTCGAAGGCTAGTCGCATCGAACCGTCACCGGATTCGATCCGACACGCTAAAATTGAAAACCTTGGGTAAAGTCGAAAAGAAACTACACCGGTTCAACAAGATCAAATTGGGTCCGCGCAAAAATTCCACGAATGGTATACGTGTCTCGGAGAACCAGGTGGAAACGACAATCTATTAGTTACTGCGAAAAATGCTTCAACATCTTTTCGAACACATCTAATAAGTTTGTACTTCCCACATGATAATAATATTATTTATCTACGCACTCTCGAAAAAATCAAATTACCACGGTCTCAGACCAGAAGCGTGTCGAGAACCTTATCTTATTAACTGATTCATATCTGATAGTCTATTATAGATAAAATTATTGATATTAGAAACATAATTGTATTACAATATGTCATCATGTACTTATTAGTTATAATATTACATAAGAATATATAATAATTGAAAGCATCGATTTTATAATTGTTTAACGATTAGGTTAATTACATTAATATTATAAATAATTGTGATTAATCAACACTACACTAAACGAGAAATCAGACGGTCTTAGTGTGTTATAGAAAGCTCTTAAAACCATATCATCGGTATGGTCCTGTCTGAGCACTCTACGCTACAGTACCTAAACACACATTAACTTAGCATTTTTACCCATTAATTATTATTTATTTGATAATTAATGTACTGTTTTCGTTTTGTAAACAATACATTTTATGTGATGTATCTTGAACGTATCCTTTATAGACTATGTATAGTTAATAAGTCTGATAATTATATTGAATCAATTTATTATATAGTTTTCATATATAATATATCAACATTTAATACTATACCTACTTAATACTTAATCGTTTGAAACGTAAATTGAACTCTTTTACCATTGTAAATTTCTTATTAATCATATCTGAATTATTTCAACTATAATAATATATCCTTAGTATTGTACATATAAGTATAAAAATGAATTATATGAATTACGCATGGAATATTTTTAACTTGAAGTAGATAGTTCAAGTATTAAATACTAGTTTAAAGTTGAAACTTTTTTTTAAGAAATATCCGTGATAGAGAATGTTGATGTAGATAATAAGTCATAAGTATTTAAACAAAATGACTGTTATTTTTTAATATAATAATACAATAATATATTAATTTAATATAATAATAAAAAAAATTAGAAATAAAATCCTAATAATTGACAATTTAACAAAAAGTAGTTAATGAAATAGATAATTAGTTAACTGTGTAATATGAAATTTTTTTTTTTAAAGATTTAATTTAGTGTTTATGTCAATTTTTGATTTACTCTGGGAAGTTTAATAATACTCTTGTTTATCTTAATGTAATTTGAAAGATTATGTGATGTGGTAGTAAAATTAAGTTATTGTATAATAAAATAAAAATAAAATATTTTCTTGTAAACTTTTTAATTCTTTAATAATGTAGTGCTTTGTAATGAAATATTCAGAAACTTGAATGTTAGTCTCTAACCTACATATTGCACAAGAATGTATTCCTTTTGTATACATTAAACAGAGTCAAAAAATATCTATAAGTAAATATCTTGACTTAAAGGTAGCCTTGTATATGATATCATTCTATGCATAAGATTTTCGTATTGTTAATTCAAATTTATTGACGAATGGAAACGTTATACAGCAGAAACCGTTTATCACGACCAATTGAAAGAACCGATAAAAAGTTGTGATCACGTATTTACGTACTTACTAATCAAATCCGTTTAGGTTAGCTTATCACCATTACAATATCATTAAACGTTATAATGAAACGTAATAATTGTTCGTTATACATAACGTTATAGTTATATATAAATATATATTATTACATAACGTTCGTTATGTACGTTAATTATTAATGATAATTAACCCCGCGAAACGTTATTGTATTTTAATTCGTAATCGTATTAAAAAAGATGATCCATTGTGGTACGTGTCATTCGCATGTATTCTCATCAATGATATTTTTACCGCTATCGTCTCTTCGTCCACCCTTAGTCGCATTGCCACTCCACTATGCCGAACTTACAAGTTTCTATGCATTATCATACTGGGCACAAAGATAATTATTTGGATACATCATAGACAATGCCATTGAAATAGCGTGAAATACGATTGAAAAGAAAGAAAACGTGATGGTTGTATATATTTTTAATTATTTTATTTTATTTTTTATTATTCATCAAAAAAAAACCCTCGACAACAGTTACCATTGGGTGGTATTAATATTATTACAATAGATCTAAATTAATATAAATAAATATGAGTACTTGTTGTAAAGTAAAAATTTAAACGTATGGAATTGAAGCTTACACTTTATTTGTTAGATCTACTGTGATAATAAATTTGATTGTGTTGGAAAGTGAATTTGGAACTTGGAATCCTGGTTGAGAGTTGCAATGAGTGATTCTGGAAGCTTAGAATTGTATATATCCGTGTTATATGTGCGGCACTAGGTAATTATGTGTTTTATGTTGATAGCAATCCTACATGCGGTAGCTATATTACATTCAATGTGGTTTAAACGGATCGATAAAATGTTGGATTGAAATCGTTTGCTACGATTAGTATTTGAAATATACAATAAACCTTATAAGTAGATGTTGTATCTTATAGGTAATTCGTTCGACCAATTTAACGAATTGCATCGGGTCAAATAGTATAAAGCAGGAATGGAAAACGTTTTTGATTTTTTCGTTTTCGTTTTTGTTTATTGATTTAAAAAATATCGTTTTTGATTAACGTTTTTAAAAACGTTATTTTTTAATAGTGTTTATAAACAATGTTTTTCAAAACGCTATTTTTCTTTAATGTTTCCAAATAACGTTTCTGATAATTTTTTTTTTATATATTTTTATTTTTATACTTAACTTATAATAGTTAAAATGAATATTCAATATACTGAATTTAGGAATGCACTTAAGTTATAATTAATTATTCTTAATATTTAAAATTTAAATTTCAAATCAAAATTATAATTCAAATTTTATATGAAAATAATAAAATTCAAAATTTTAAATTAAAACGTTTTTAAAAAGTGCATTGGTAAAGACGTAATGTAAAACACTATTTCAGATTTTTATAAAGTCATGTTATTGTTACAATTAACTATAATAGCCAATAGGATAATGAGTAAGTATAATAAATTATAAAACAAAATCAATTCCTAATCAACTGTTAAAATCAATAGATAATAATATAATCACATTAGCTTAATTACTCGACTTCACACGGATCATTCTTGGCCGTGACATAAGTTTTAATGGATTATTACTTTACACTATTTAAATCCAAGTTTAGTGTAACTGTTGGTGGTTATAAAACAAATAAAACGAAAGTTCAAATAAATCAGTATAGCAATTTTGGTGATACGCTGGATAACCGCATTTTCTGGTTCCAATATTTTTTAAAATTCCTTCTTATTGCATGTATTGAATATTGGAGAGACCACTATGTCAAATTTCGAGTTCATATAGTTTTGAGATGTAGCGATGATCAATGAATGAGTAATATCTGACTAATTTATTTTGGATTATTATTTTTTTATTTATTCATTTTATTGAGAAATGTCTGAAAATTTGAAGTTTCAAATAAATGCTATTTATCAAAGTGTATTTGAAATACACAATATTTTTTATTTTTCCTTTTGTGGTGCGTACATAAATAAATCCAGGTGTGTAGCTAGGTATTTCAAAAGGGGGGTGTTATTCAAAATTATACACAACAAAATAATTACTTTACGTATACTTTATTGTACACGCATACAAACAAATTAGTACATTATACATAAATATATATTCGTGTATAATGTACTAATCTATGAGAAAGTATTTAAGTATTATATTAACATTTCAAATGTACATTTTTGTCACATGTACCTATTTACGAGCATCTCGGGAGCAAAATTGCGCGATCAATCAGAGGCGTTCACATTTCTTATCAATATTTGTTAAAAATCACATTTCTTATCATTTTTTATACAAAGTATAACGTGATATTGTTATATTCTGTGGTGATAATATATTGATATTATTTTATTCTGTGATATAATCTTCAATCATACAGGTGCAGTGGCGTATTTAGGAATTTTGCTAGGGGGGGAGGGGATGAAATATATAATAATACATCCTAACACCCATAAATTCGTACATAATATACATTTTTAAAATCCCCTAACTTGTTACCTATTGAGGTTAGTGTGGATCAAGGCAAAATAAGAATTAATCTTTATAATTACCTCATCATTTTCCAAACAAATTTTTTTATTTGTACTAAAATAAGAAAATAAAGTTTTTTTTTGTTTTTGAGTATTACTCATATTGTCTTAAAACTTCACAGTTACAACTTACAAGACGCAAAAAATAAACTCGAACAATAGTCAATTCGGCAGTAAGTCAGTACTCAGAATGGCGCGGCGTCGCTATCCGTCAACGACCAACGACCGTACATATCTACTTTTAACGAATCACGATATCATACGATAAAATATATATATATATATATAGCTATACATTAGCCATAAATCTACTAGTAACAAATTTTCTAAAAATAAACCCGCCCGGCCGCCCTATGGTTAATCCACGGTCTTCATGGTCATTTTGTTTTGTTTACCGATTGCTTATCGGGTTTATTATAAACACTCTTGCATGAAAAATAATTCGCAGAAACGTACAAAATACAGTACACCATAATATAGGTATAGTTTTTGTTGCCTGATAGTCGTACATGCCGCCAACGATAAACGATTAGTGGCGATTAGTATACCAGGCTATCAGAGCGGTACAATTACCGCGACTAGAACATTTAGAAAACAGAAAACATACATGCTTGAAAGTAATATCATATTAAGAATAGTAGAGAAAATGAGACAACTTATAGCTACCTAGAAAAAAAAAAAAAGGTCAAGGGGGGGATCTATCCCCCATATCCCCCCCCCCGTAAATACGCCACTGTACAGGTGTTATAATTAATTATTATTAACTATTATTTTTATTAATTACCTACTTTTAATTATTTAATCATAATAATATGGAAGAGTTGGAAATTGGAACCAGTAACACGGAAAAGCTTAAGTGCTTAGTGTGTAACAAATATTTTAGTTACAAACGAACTTTAAAGCGACACTCAATTACTTGTGGCTCTAAGGAATCTAAAAATATTAATAGTGTGCAATGCCCTGATTTGTCGTGCAATAAATCATTCACAAACAAAAAAATGTTGAAATCTCATATAAGTCAGACCATGGCGTGAAATTGAAAAATGAACAAAAAACGTTTGCAACTCTTCATGGTAAATGCAATCTACTGAATTTTAATTTTATTTAAATTATATATGTTTATATTTCAAAGAATGGAAGAAGATAATCTGTTTTTATGCGCTCGTAAGACTGTCGGACAGAATAAAA